TAATCAAATTAAAATGGAATTAAGATGTCTCTAAAAGAAAATATACCAAATATGTTGGGGTTTTTTTCCTCTTTTTAAATTAATTCTAAGTATAAAAGTAATATATAAATGCATAAGATTACATAAAATATGTAATATGAAAAAAATTCACATTACACATAAGATTAAAGTACCTTTTGACCGACATCCCCTAATCTAATAGTCTGTTAGGAAGTGTGTCTCTACAGTTTTTCTAAGCAACTATTTACCATTAGGAAATGTATAATCTTTAATGTTACTGTTTTGTGAATATTTTAAATGAATGATACATGTTGTTTTACAACTTGCTTTACTCAGTGACTTGCTAATCTCTGTATGTCAAAAAATAAAGACATTTGAGTGCTTATTATGTAGTAGTCACTCTTCTAAGCACTTAGATCTATTAATGCATTTAATCTTCATAACAATGCAGTGATTATGTTGTGCTATTATCATTCAGGTTTGCAGTTGAGGATCCTGAGGGACCTCTGAGAAGTTAGGTAAATTGCCCAATTTTGTGGTAGAGATGCTTGTTCTGGATTCTATTCCAGGAAGACTAACTCCAGGTCTACTCTCAGAGTAACCATTTTACACTATCTCTGTGAGTTTCATAAACCTACCTCCTGAATGCAGTACGCATCAACCCAAATCCCAGTGGACCCATCTTTAGAACTTGCAGTGACTGTGAATAATATGCAGATACTGTTCAAGTTTTAAAATGGCACCGAGTGCCTCATTATGCTCCACTTTTCAGTTGACAGCAGCATAAGTGAGGTATGACTGTTTTTGAGGGGAATAACGCACATATGAATGCGGAGCAGACCCCATTGTTATGCTCCTCCATTCCCCTGGTTCCCTTGCTGCTGTATCTGATCCTTGGGCAACATTCCATTTACGTCAAAAATAACGTCAATCCAGTGAAAAAAACTGAATGACTCACAGTATTACTGTAGGGAACTGGTCTCTGTGTAATATGATATATAACATCCTAATTTCATAGAGCATTTTTCATAACAGCTGCTTAAATCATAATCAAATCCATTAAATTCTTTTAAAGACTCCAATTTGAAACAATATTGAAACTATTCTAAAAATGCAGGTAAGTGAGGTCCTGCCCACACAAACCGCTCCATCATTAACTCCTGCATATCTCCTCAGAATGTATCTGCCTGTATCTATTGATCACTTGAGTCTGCTCCTCTTTTATATTTCTAGCTGTATTTGAGTCAAAGGCAGGTTATTTAACTGACTAGAGGATCTGAAAGATAGAATAAATAAGAAATCAGAGGAGGAAAAGGAAATTTTTCTCTTGACCCTCATGGACAACAGAACAAGGTATATTGCAAAGAAAGGAGGGAAAAACTGAGGTCTTGCATTTGGGGAAGCAGTGTTGTATTATTAAGATCTTTCTCTAGGGAATGAGTGACAATGAGGAACATGGCTACCTAAGCCCTTACATCTAGCAGCACTTAACTTAGAAATATTGAGCCCGTTGTATTTCTCCTGTCACACTGCCATCTCCAAAACTGACAGCTAATGTTTTTTAATAAGAATTTTATTCCTTTGATAAATACAAAGCCAAATAAAATCCCTGGATGTTTTTTTTTTCTTTCCTGTTGCTATATAATTCTGTGAGTTTATACAGTTAGTCCCTGACATGTATTTTTCTTCAGAACATAAAACCAAAAAGAGAATTCAAGGAAAGCATAAGAATGTGTAGTTTATTTCCATATGTAAGAATGACCCTCCAGAAAGAGCATAGGTTTCTAGGCATGATCACTTTCCAGTCTCTTCCATAGATAACTTAAGGTACAAGTTAGTAAACAAATGAGTAGCCTTCTCTGAGCCTCAGTTTTCTTATGTGAAGAATAAGCTTGGACCAGAATCCCAGTGTTCTCTTGAGGTGTAACATTCTGGTTCTTATATTTCATGGTGGCAAAAGATAGACAGATCACACTTCTGGTTACCCAGCAGCATAAGTCTTGTGCATTTTCCTCCCATCTACACATATCTCTTCTAATACTCATTAGAATGTTACTTACAGTGTCTTTTGTCTATGCATCTTATGGATAGTGCTCCTTCCAGCTTCATTCTGGTATAAGTGCTGTTGAAGTCAAAGTTCTCAGCACCATTTCATTTTCCTGGTTCTCAAAAAGAAAAAAGAAATTCAGAATGGAATATAAATTACTGGCTTGTAATCTACAATCAGTGCTCTAAAGTGGCTCTGATATTTGCTTTCAGACTCTCAAAAACTGGTAAGTGCATGCAATGTTTTGTAATGGGTTTAAGGCATGCTTTTCAGATGCCAGTTAAACATATCACTAATAGACATAATTTTGTGAGTGCGCTCAAGCAGTTTGCACCTAGTCAACTGATGTTAAAGCAAATACACCATACTGCCATTTTGAGTTGTCTAACAGCAATACCAGGGAAATTACTGAATATTAGTAGAACTTGGAATCTTAGAGTAGATTCTCTGCAATCTTAAGTCCTGCTAATAAGACATTTTCATTTCTCCTCATTTTATTTGTTCAGTAGCCAGTGATGGAGCAGCTACTGCAGTGCAGTCTTGGATGTGGGTGTTCTGCTGGGTCCTCTAGGGTCAGAAATCCATTGCAAAAGGAACCATGTTTACAAAAATGAGACAGACTTCTTCCTTGGGTCTATCAATCACCAAGTAACTAGTTATCAAATCAACCAGACATGAAATCATCTGAGAAGTAGTTTGTTCTTTAGTTCTCAACATATCTTTCTTTTTTTCCTAATAAATATATGAAAGATAAATGGCAATATTCATATGTAGACTGTGAAAGATCTGAGTTTCCTAGATTAGTCACATCTTGTGTGATTTTAAAACTTAAAATACTGGACTCTGGTGGCATTAAAATCTTAACAGTAATAACCTTTCAACACTAGTTAAATTGGAGTGCGTAGCCAGTAGCATGGGAGTCAAGATACCATAATCATCATGGCTGCACAGCTAGCTTTGTAGAGAAGGGTAAGCTACTCTGGTTTTCTCAGCTTTGGGAGTGGAAAATATCCACTTGCATTCTGTCTCACAAAGCTGTAATGAGAAACAAATGAGGTGAAGAATGTGACAGTATTTTGTATTGTAGATCATACAATCCAAATATGAAACAGAAAAGATGTAAAACGTTTATGTACTGCAGCATTTCTAATTATATTATTGCTTTCTTCTATGTGATGTTCTGCATTTTATATGTAAACAGAGCTTGCAAGGTTGACTTTCTCCCAATTATCACAACTAATGAACTCTTAATGGGCAGCTGTGAATATAGATTTTATTGGAAGGAGGAAATTAAAGTGATCAAGGAGATAATTTTTTCTCCATTGGCATGTAAAAAAGTAAAGAGAATACTAATTAGAAAATATCTAGTTGTTCTTTATGTATACTTGCATGGTCTGACTTTTCTGATTACTCTTTTTTTATTCAAGTATAGCAAATGAAAAGTCAAAACCTTGTGTAAATGTCATTGGATGGATATATCTTCTGGGTAAAAATATATTTACTTGTATTTGTTTGAACCGTATGCCAAATATTCCATTTCATAAATAAGAGACACAACATGAGGTGCTTCCATGTTTTAGTTTTATTGTGTAGTTAGAACACATCTTTATAATAATGCTATAAAAGAAATTATCTGGGCTAATGTTAGAGGAAGAATTTGTTTTATTCTGTTAATACCTTTGCATATGTTTTCTAGAACTCAGGTTTTTTTCTTATTTTTAATAATTTAAATCCAGAAGCACTTAGTTACTAATTCCTTGAATCTGGTTTCATTTGATGATTGCCATCCTGAAAAGATTAAATAGTATTAAAGATCAAAATACTTTATTTTGAAGGAGTGATTCCATATGCAGATGTAAGAAATAGTAACATTCCAAATAAATGCGGGCAAAATATGCTTTCTGAAACTAATACCTAGGTATGTTCATGAGTAAAGTTTCCTTGTCCCCTTTAGAATATTAATTTCCATGTCCTGATTAAAGTCTAGGTGGCTCAATTAAAGGTGGTAAGAGACAGACTAATGAGGACCACATTGGACTCTTCCTTTATTACTTCATTGTCTTTCTGTTCCGCTTTCTCTCTCTCCCACTTCTTCTTTCTTTTCCTCCTCCTCCCCACCTCCCCTTTTGCTCCCTCTCCCCTTGGAGTATTTTTATTTAAAGACTTAAACATTTTCCTGGAAAACCAGCATAGTTTCTGTTGAAGAGAGAAAGTATTCAGAAAAATAAATGAGACAGAAACACAGACAAATAACCTAGAAAATAAACTTAGAAGTTAATGAAAGAAAAGAAAATGTTTTTCCTACTGCATCCATAATGCTAGTACTTATGGTTGTTTAATTTTTATTCATGTAGCCAGATCTGGTTTTATTTCTTCAACTATCTTAAATTTTCTGGTTAAATCAATTTTGTAATTCTGTTCTGATCTTTCTACAGCATTCAAAGAGAAACAAGTTAGGTTTCAGAACTGGGGTAGTAAAATATATTAAGACCAAAGTGATACAGCCTATCAGAAATTTGGAATAGAAAATTCATGCCCATGGTCACCTGCTATTGCCCACACATGTTCTTTGTAACCTCACTTTTTTATCTGTAGGATTTCTAACATCTACCCACTTTGATACACTTTCACCTGATAACTGTGACTACAAACACTCCAACATGCATACATGTAAATGAATGCAAATCAGTGCTTTTTATAATTATGTTGTAGGAAAATGTTATGCTCTTGGGATGTTTGATTTTCATTATTGCCTTGGTCGTTTTTAGTGTTGGTTTCTCAAATTCTCCTAAACCCCACTAATTTCTTTGTTATCTGTGGGCTATCAGGCTGTAATGGTTATCACCTCTTTCCTGGTTGTTATTGATAACCTTGAGATTTTGTTTTCAGTGTCTGTGGTCTGTCTTTTCCAAAGGTTTCTCTCACTAATTATTTTGCATCGTTCTTTTCTTAGACTTGAACGAAGCAGTCCCAGAAACAGAACGCTTGGATTCAAAGGTCCTAAAAACTCGAGCCCAGCTTTCCGTGAAGAACAGGCGCCAGAGGCCCACCAGGACAAGACTCTATGATAGTGTCAGTTCAACAGATGGGGAGGACAGTCTAGAGCGAAAGGTGGGTATCCTTGACAGTTCTCAGACTTGTGCTAGACTCTTTCATAATTCCTATAGCTTACTGAAGATAATGGTTCTTTTGCAACCAGAATCTGTGCCCTAGCTGGAAACAACTGGAATAGCTCCTGTCTTTGTCTCCTGAATTTACACAACTTCTTATATTATCATAATTCAAACTCTTTTCTCTATTCATTCATCAAACTAGCCATGAATGTTATCCATATTGTCATATTTCATGATGGTGCTTTTGATATTCAGCTGTTAGTTTTACCTAGTAGGAAATAATGAGTGTATAAGTAATTGTTTCTGTATGTTTTAGGTATTTGTGTAGATTCAGCATTAATATGGTGAATTGTTATGAACGATGCCTTCCTTTTGGTAAACCAACAAACAAATATTCCTTTTCATGGGTATTCACTAAAAAAAGGTTGGTCTTATTTCAAAGTAAGTATTGCATAGAACTGATCACAGTGGCATAACCTCCTGTATAATCTCTTATACCAACAGCCTTCAAACAGTCTCTATAACCTCATGCATATTACCAAATCAGTTCCGCCCAAGGGTCTGAGAACTTCTTCTCCAGAATCAGATTCTGGGGTTCCACCCCTCACTCCAGTGGCTAGCCATGTGCCCTTCTCGCCTGACCACATAGCAGAGTTTCAAGAAGGACCAATGCACCCAGAAAGGGGGCCTTTATCCTCTGTTTGGGGAGACACTTCGCTTTCCTCTCCTTCAAAATCTGATCATGATATGGAAGAACCTCCTTGCCCCCATCAAGCTACCAGAAAGAAAATATTACGAGAAAAAGGTATTGTTAATTTTGTTGTTGTTCTGCTTTTGCTTTGTGTGACTTAGCTAACACTCCAATTTGTGCAGTTTAGAAATGACTTGTCTCATTGTCATAAGTCTTTTGTCTTCCCACAGCTAATAATATTACTTTCCTTTTACCTTATGGGATAAGAGAGATCTCTACTCCCATGTATTTTGTGTTATTTGTTTTAATCTTTTCCTGTTCATTTAGTGTTTTTATTTCTTTGGCTCTCTACAAGTTTATTATTGAAGGAAATTCTTTGAATGACCTTCTAAAGATTATGTAGAATAGCAGCTCATAGTTTCAATAAACACTAACATAGTCATAGAGAAAAAATGATATATATTGAAGATCAAAGTGATGTAGGTCACAACCCATTGATTGATTTTTATTCCAAATACTTTTCATAATAACAATTTATATTACAGTGAGTGTAATAGAATAGCTGTGATAAAGATAACACAGGGAGGCTGGTCAAATAAATTAAATTTTTAAAATAGGCTCCTAGAATTACACCAAAATTTTATAGCAGCATTAGTAGACTTTTGTCTTTTTAATTATATATTTTACTTTATAGAAACAATAAATTATTGATTAAACAAGCTAACCAGTGTTGAGCGATATAAGTCATAGGTTTATTCTCCTTCCTTGTCTGATGTTTTTCTTTAAAGTAAACTAAGTAAATTTGGTTGTATTATCTTTCACATCTGAAATGAAATCTACATACACACATTCAAATACTTTTTAACATATGTAAATGAATAAAATACACTGAAATATAACAATAGGGATGAATCTCTGGAATAAGACATCAACTAAAAAAACAAGTTACAGAATATATATAGTTTTATTTACATAAAGTTAAACAAAACTATTTAGGTCATCAGATTCTGGTGTTCCACCCCTCACCCCAGTGACTAGCCATGTGCCCTTCTCGCCTGACCACATCACTATACAAACAAACTTTTGAGGTCCAAATGGGAATGGCAGGAGAGGTCCTTGGGAGGGATGTGCCAGGGACCCCATTCTTGTCAACTGCAGTCCATCAGGCTAGGTGACAAATGGGTGTTTTTTTTTTTTTTTATTGATGTTTGCTTATATTCTCTGCCTATTTTATAAGTACTCTCAACTTCTGCAGTCAATAAACAAACAAAAAACTTCACATACAAAGGTGAGTGGCTGGACTTTATCTTTAATATACAAGTAGTTCCAAAGAACTGATTTTTTTAAATGTAAAAAATAAGCTAATGATAGAAACTCTTAAATCCTTGAAGATAAAATGCACATTATTTATAAGATATGAAAAGATAATCAACCTCGCTGATGATCAAGACATGATCATTTAAATTACATATCTAATTAAAAAAATTTGTCAGAATGCTAACATCTTCAGACTGAAATTTGATTAGTCAGTGCTGGTAACAGTGTGAGACACTCATACACTACAGGTATGATTATGCATCACCACAGTTTTTAAAACTCTACTGATTTTTCTCCACCAGATCAGAAATTGTAATCTTTCCACAAACATTTTGTAAACATAGAAATACAGGTGCCTGTAGGGCTCACATTGCTTCATAACTTTTGGTCGTGTTCAATTGTTATTCCTAATTTTTTTCTCCTTGGTTCCCTTTCCTGAACCTGTGAGCTGCTACAGTTTTCTTTCACACACTTTTCCTAACTTCAGCTCTTCTTGAAGGAGGCAATACTTGAGTATTAGGGAGTGCAGAGTACCAGTGGAGCCTGTTAAAGCAGTGGTCAGTTAACTGTGATGCAGGCCTACTCTCAAAAAAATTAAAGACTCCAGAAATTTTTATTAATTAACCCAAAATATGGGATTTGGTAGCACTTTTATAGAGGTACAATTGTAGCAAGCTCACTATCATCTTTTCAAAAAAAGATATGTATAGACTCTGGTCCATAAACAGGCAAAATAGCAGATGAACATCCTTTGGAGCTAATAGTTAATAATCTGTGATCCACTGTGTGAATTTATAAGACATGGCTTGCTATCTGAGGGAAATCATATCGTAGTAACACGTGAAATCTCACCCAAAGATTTTTATAAGTAGTTAAGCCCTGTCTAGATTATTTATTTCTGCCTTTTACTTCTAAGTTATTTACGATTCTTTGAGGTTAGTAGATATTTCCTCTCAGATTGGACAAGTAGTCCCTGGATATGAATTGTGCTTTAGGGTCCTTTAGCAGTAGCATAGCAATAAAATATGAGAATTTCACCTCACCTCTGATGCCTCCCTTTCTTCCTTTGGAATTTAGCAGGACAAAAGACAAGAGGTGGAAAGTCTCTCTTTTCCAGAGACCAAGTACTTGGGCTTTCTCATTTTCAGTTCTGCTGGGCTGGTCAGAGTTATATATAACAAAGCAGGAGCAGTGAATTGAGCTTTGATAAAATACTAACTTTATAAATAGTCAGTGACTGGTATGGTGACCATTGCTAGGTACTAATGGTGGATAGATGAAAGCAGTGTCAAAGCCTCCCATTCTCTCATAACCTTGATACAAGTTTCCAGCCTCAAAAGAGTTTTCTGTGCCTTCCATGTCCATTTGACATTAATCCAGTTATTCAAGTGTTCACTCAGCAGTTGCTGAGTTCTGGCTGTGTCAGGCTTCATGGTGAAGCTGAATATACAGAAACAAACAGGATTCTGTCCTTTCCCTCAAGGAGTGTGCCTACTAGAGACAGTCTGTCTGCTGTCATCTCCTCCCCCTCCTCCCCCTCCTCCCCCTCCTCCCCCTCCTCCCCCTTCCACTCCCTTCCACTTCCCCTCCCCAACCCTTTCTATTCTGGAACCTCCTGCTAGCTTGCTCCTCTGGTGACCTTGCTTCTATGAACCCCCACTGACCACCACTGGCAACAACTGGAAGACACTATGCTTCTTGTCTTTCCACACTTGAACAGTGTCAAAGAGGGAAACCATTCAGCCACTGACTCAGACATAGTCCTGTTGCCAGACAGTGCCTTGGGGAGTTAAGGGTCTGACCTCAGTTTTCTAAATCCAGAATCCCAATAATGTACCCAGCTTCACTCAAGCTCAGGGTGACTGATTCATGCTGTTCAAACCTACAAAACACTGATTCCCAGAGCAGAAGGCTGATTTACTTTAGGAGGATCAGGTGACTTATTAACAAACATCCTTTATTTGTTTTGTTCTGTCTTGTCTAGTTAATAGGTTCAGAAAGTTGCTCAGTGAACATAAAATTAGAGTCAAGTTTACTGGATGTGGACACAGATTATGGCCATTGGCCTATGAGCATGCTGGTGACCTGCTTGTTCACTATAAGTACCACTAGCCTGCAGCTCTCCCACAGCCCTCCCACCTAGTTTCCAAAAAATGGACCTTGGTGTCATTCAGACTTTAGGGAAATCCCGTGCTCCCTTTGTTAGGATGTTGCAGAGGCTGATGCAGCATTGATTAACAGAGTGGGATAATGTTCTATAAAACCCTTGTGCTCCTTGCTGTGTGAAACTGGTCTGCTATTCTGACCTGGACTCAAGCTGTGTCAAAGCTTCACATTCTCTCATTACCTTGATATAAGTTTCCGGCCTCAAAGAGTTTCCTGTGCCTTCCATGTTCATTCGACATGACTCAAGAGAGGTTAGGTATGGTTAACCTATGGTTTCCCTCTTGGTGTATGTTTATGTGTGTGGTTCTTACAACTCATTAGTTCATCAGTGAAGAAACTAAAAAAGGACGTAGTGATGTTCACAGGGACAAACTGGATCTCATGCTTACAATTTCATCTAACACCACACTCTAGGAAAATCCATATCCTTCTTCAAAACCCAGTTTAATTCTCACCTCATTAATGAAGTCTTAGGCCCAGTCACTCCATTTCCAGGCAGAGTACATTATTCTTTTCTCTCTGATTTTAGAGAATTTTTCACTGCTACTTCTGCCTCCATCACCTTATGTGCAATAAGTGATTTAGGAATCAATGTGAGCCAAAATTGCCTCACGTATTAATCCTTGCATTTTTGGTCCCTAAGGGAATATGACCTGTAAATGATATTTCGTAATTTTCTGGATGAAGTACTGTCATACTCCAGACTACTAAAGCAGCTGTCTAGGACAGGATCCATCAACCGAGCCCTGCTACTTCCTGGTTTGTGAATGAAGATTTATTATAATGCAGCCATAATCTTCCAGCTACATAGGCTTACTTCCATGCCACAGTGGCAGAGTTGAGTGGTTATGACGGAGACTGTGTATCTCACCAACATAAAATACTTACTCCCTGTCTCATTATAGAAAAATCTTCTTGATTCCTAGTCTAGAAGTATCTTTCCACTCCACATTGCTGGATACACTCTGAAGATGGCTTAGTCACTGGTTGCCATTTATTTAGAATTTTTAAATAATATTCTCAATATGCTCAAACTGGAGTTGGGTTTTTCATAAATTTTTGTCAGTACCACAATGGCATGTCATCATTTTTCCTCAGATTTGAGGGCCCATAGAAGACACTGAGATAGAAAGAGTCCCATTATAACTAGCTCAATGATAAATCTCTAACAGAATGTCAGTTAAATTAGAGGAAGTAAAGATTTTTTTTTCCTAGAGGTCTGTATAACAGGATTTTATGGCAATAGGAGCCATAAAAATACTTTCCTTATTCCTCTTCTATAAGCACCTAATAATAAAATTTTTGTCTCTAGGCTTGCATAGCAACGGACCTTTGACCAAAGTTAAGTAAATTAAACATTATCAGTTTTCTACTTTTAAATACTAGAGATTATTATTCTAAGCTTATATAGTTAGTAGCACATTGCCTGACACAGCATGCCTTTAAAAATCTTCATTGAATTAATACATGGTAAATAGTATTTAGCTTTCTAAAAACTTTGCAGGATTCACTTCTTGTTAAAATATTACACTAGGCCTCTGTAATGATAAATATGGTAAAACTATATCATTGCTTAGAGGAGAGAGAGGTGACATCCAGCTAAGGTTGGTAAATAAAACTTGACAAATAAAATGCAACTAAAGTAACCACTGAAAGACTTTAAAAGAAGAAGAAAGAAAGAAAGGCTAGGTAAGGAGGGCATGAAAGGCAGAGTGAGTGGACATTCACAGAGACAGACACAATGACATAACCTGCATGAGAAGGTTGGTGCTATCCTAGCTGGCTGAAGCAGTTTGTTTATGCAGGGGAATTGTTGAACATCAGAGTGAACAGGTAGTAGGTTAAGTCTATAGCTCTAGAATTTAAATATCAGAGATACCTTCAGATTACTAGGAAACCACAAGTTTGTTTTGAGAAAAGGAAAGGGTACTAGGTATCGGAAGGCTAAATGAGACACACTGAGAGGTGATAAACTATAAAGAAGATCCCTTGTCAATAACAGGACAGAAGGATGCAAGAACCCTTGAAGTATAAGCTGACTAGATAATAGGGGGAAGAAAGTGAGTTATAACTAGTCATAGGGTTTCTAGCCTCAGAGCATAGGGTTTGTCATTAACAGAAAAGAAGAAAAGAGACTTTACGGGGGGAAATATGGTTAATTCTTAAAAAACAAACAAACAAACAAAAAACATTGGAGGTCATGAGCTCAAGAGATAGGCCAGGGCAGGAAGGTAGATTTGGGTGTCCCCATCATAAAAGAAGGGACAGTCAAGTATCTTTTTGCAGTGAGATTGAGAACAATGCAGACCAAGAAAAGTCCTCAGGATTTAGCCATAGATAATTTATTACCTTTGGAAAAGAAAGCTATATGTGCTTACTTGCAGGCCACAGTGGCAGAGTTGAGTAGTTATAACAGGAGACTGTCATAACCAAAGCCTAAAGCCAACCCACTCAGTTTGGGGTCTCAGACTTCTAAAGAAGTATTAGAGAAATTTCTAAAAGCCTAATGGAAGTCTTAATAAATAAGTTTTTAAAATGTGACATTTATCTTTTCCTGAAACAAGGCCAATCCAGTATTGGTTTGTATATGGATTAGAAGTTCTCATGTGCATTAAAGGTGAATTTGATTAATTTAACCCTACCTCTTCAGTGTTCCTTGGAATACACTTTGGCAAATGTGTCAGATAGTGATGTTTGGTTGCCTAGCAGCAGTTTCTGTGATGGCCAGAATCAGGCTTTTAGTCCTAAGATGTCCAAATAACTGTAACACTAATAGGTAAAGAGCATTTCTATGTACATTTTCTCAGCTGGCCTTCTCTTCACTCATTAAAATACCTCCCAGCTACCTGTAATTCAGAAAATAATTAGGCAGTATTCTTTTAATTTTGCACAGTCCTAGACTTTAAGAGTTGCTTTAGGATTAATCTGGAAGAATTCATCACTTTATTTTCTTCAGCTTCTATTAAGAAAATTGAAATCCTGCTTTTTTAAATGTCCATTAGCAAAAGCACCCTAGAAGGCATTTGTGCCATGTCTGTGGATATTTTTTTATGTGTGTGTATGTCACATTGGTGGCTATTTAATTCAGTTACTCAAAGAGTAATGATGCAAATATCCATAATAAATATTTTAAGCTAGAAGTGGATTTTGACACGACATATTTCTAACTCTTGTATTTCATTATGCATATTTTCAAGGAATTGATTATTGTAATCTGAGTACCATTAACTAAAAATATGAAATGCTCATTGCTAAAAATCCTTGGAGTATTTGTCAGTGTCCTGTGCTGCTTAAGAGCTTTGAAGCTAGACTCCTAAATGAGAACTGTGTGTGCACTTCATATTTTTTAAGGATACATGTTGTTATCTATTTAAAATTTCTCCTGAAGTGTACAAAACTCGTAAGCAAAATTAACCTGCAAGGTTAATTGAACACTATCTTAAGAGGCCTGTTCTATCTATGCTTCATGCTAGAAAGTTCCTAAAATTCAAGAATTTAAAAGTTAGAGACAGAAACCAACAGGCAATTAGGAAGGAATAATATCACACACAAAAACAGGTGGAATAGTGCCACAGTTGACATGGAACACCATTTGCAGGCCTCTCTTCTGATTAATTTTTGGCATCCTTTGGAGTGTCCCCATCCCCCAGCAGCTACTGTCCCTTTAGAGTGCCCATGTAACTCAAAGAGGTAAAGATCAGGCAGCTCCAAGCACTGAAATTTGGGTGTCTTCCACATCATGGGAGGCCAGCCAAGTTGTGTTCCAACCCAACTATTAAGAAGGACCTTTCAAAGATATCTTTTATAGCTGGGCTCCTGTCTAAGAGTCTTCCCCGTGTTCTACCCTCACCTGTCCAAGGCCATGAGCAAGTGAAAACTTTACCTTTACTATCACTGTAAGTCTCTTAGACTCTCAGGTGATACTTTCTTCTGAGCTTTGAGGACACAGAGAAAGTGGGTTGAGTTTCTTCAGAGGCTACAAAACCAAAGGCTAGGTATGGAAAACAGAGCCCAGGCATTCAAACCAAGAGTTGGAGCCAAAGAAAGGACAAAAGGAAGATCTGCTTTGAAGCAGAGGACAGTGTGATAGTGGTTTTTGTTTTTTGTTTGTTTGTTTGCTTCTCTCATTCATTCCAGTGGGATTGACACTAATACTTTTAGTGGTGAGTATTGGGCCTCTGTCCAACAGGACCTCTCCTGCTTAAGTGACTGTTTTTCAACATGGCACATGCCAATGTCTTTTGTAAAGGGCATCCATTATCTTCTTCCACAGTTAGGAATTTAGGCAAATTTCTTAGATTCAGATATGCACTGATTTTTGATCCATGGTTTTAAAAAATAATAATTTATCCTTTTCATATATGTCTATATCCTAGATGATGCCAAATGTCCCAAATCACTAAGGGCATCCAGTTCATTGGTGAAACAAGGAGGAAAAATTAGGCGGAAGTTTGTGGATCTGGGGTAAGCACTTCATGATGTAAAAAGCAAGCCCTCTGTAAAAGGAGTATTAAAGAGGAAATTTCCACTCCCCCTTTCTGACTGTATGCTGTCATTATAGGGCACCTTTGCGAAGGAATTCCAACAAAGGAAAAAAATGGAAAGAAAAAGAAAAAGAAGTCAATAGGTTTTCTGCAGGTAGCAGGTATGAGTGGTTGATTAAGAACATGTATTTATTTCTATACCTGAATTTTGTGGCTCCCTCTTCAATTGCTAACCAAAATCACGAGTCAGCATCTCTGAGCCTAAGTGATATTCCTAGAGTTAAGATGAAAGAAAAATTGTGCAATGAGTTTATATTTGTCTTACTTTAAATATAGCCTACATTTGGCCTTGGGCATATCCATTGGTCCGTAACTGAAGAATTATGTTCACATGAAGAGTTTCAATAAATGTTTTTCTAAATGCAGTATAAATATATCTATGTAATTCTGTAGATCTATTTCAGATTCTTTGCCTAGCTGCCCACAATGCTAGTGCCTTCTTTTTGTTAACTCTGAAAGAGTAACTTTGCCCTTAAATACCTTGTTGGGATCAGGACTGTAAACATGCTTGTAAGAGCAGCCACCTTTTCTTTCTAGACTTGGGTATTTAATTGATTTGCAGGTACTGTCCACTGTCCTTACTTTTCAATAAAGGCTTTCCTATAGAAGTAAGTATTGAACAGCATGTCATCAAATTTTATCAATTTTATTCTAAGATTACATGATTTTAAGTTTAGGTTTATATAAGAAAAGAGTAAAGCATCAAGCTCTGAAATCCAATTGCCTGGGTTTGAATTGTAGCTCATAAACCTTTTAAACCTTGGACAAATTACTTAGCCCTCCTTACCTCTGTTTTCTCATGTAAAATGAGGGTAATGGTACCTACATATAAGGTATAAGGATTAAATGAGTTTTCATGTACAGCATTTAAAATAATACTTGGCACACAGTAGGTATTCAAAAATAATTGTAATGATAATAGTTTGCTGCTATTATTATTATTTGCAAGTTACAAAGTGGTTTTACATTTACCATTTCATTTGATCCTTATAATGAGATCGGGAGGATAGATGATAGTGCCGTAATTTATTGATAAAGATCTGTACCTTCATAAAATTTAATTGGTTTGCTCAGGGTTATGTAGCAGGCTGTTAATGCCAACCTGGGCTGTGCTTCCTGTCTAGATGTCTTTCCAACCCACCATGCCATTTCCAGTTAGTGATGCATCTATTGATGCTTAAATGTCTCTGTAAATTTGGGGAATCATCTCAGAATTATAGACTATGAAAGAAACAGACAAAATGCTTAAAGTAAAAGATGTAAAATCATTTATCCACTTCATAGTTTGTCTCTGCTATGTCCTTTTCTTTCTTTCCCTCTCTTTTCTGATACCCTCCCCGCCACCATATCTTTTCTTGATTAGAGATTGTACAGTCTCCTTGGTATTAGAACAAAATGGGTGGTGGGTGAAGAAAAAATTTCCCAAACTAATTACTTTGTTTGGCTGGTTTTCCTTTATGCTGTACAATGGAGAAAGGGTAGAACACCTTTATTACATTGAGGACAACAAATCTCAGGAAAAAATAAAGTAAATCTGAGGTAATATGCAACGCAAAAGCAGTTTTTAGCTTTGTGAGGCTTTGGAGTAAGAAATTGCAAAGAGTTTACTTTGTGCTTTAAAACTAACAACAACAACAAAATACTCGGGAAAAAATAACAAGGCCATTTAAAGAAGAGAGAGGGAAATGCACAAAACCCAATGGAAGAGAAACTCCCATGCTTCTGGAACGACTGTCCTTCCATTAGTCCCTGGGCATCGTAGGCTGTCACTACCTCATCCCTTTGAGACTCCAACCGAGAGAGAGGTGTGAACCCAACAGGCTGTGTGGGAGCAGTGTTTGGATTTCAGGTGAAAATTAAGCAGATCTTGATGGTATTGGTGAGTGCTTGCTGTACCATAAGCAAAGCCACAGACAGTCTGGAGAGGGTGGTCAGTGGTCACCACAGCTAGCACAGCTCTTGAACCTGCAGCAGGCTGCTTCCTCTATTGCCTGGCCACTGGTACCCTTGTAGAACATTAATTCTGGATTCTCCCTACTTCTGTAGTCATAAATAATTCCTCACATACCAATGCTACAAAAGAGTTTTCAATTAGAATCATAATTTTATAATTATTTATAATAGAATTTTGCCAGCATGGAAAGGAGTTCATGATGAGAATAGAAAAATTTTTTTCTGTTTCAAAAAAATTATTTTTGCACAATGGGAGTAATTGGGTAACACTAATCAAATCTAATGACAGCCTCTGTTCTCCTAATATGGAATGATAATGGGCCCAGAACTTAAGAAAATGTATTCCAGGAAGAACAGAATCCCTGCCCAGTAGGAGCTTAATGCAGTGAGTTGGCTTCACAGGTCCCATGCAGGTAGGTGGGCATAAGTATAATCAGCTACAGGGTCACACTGCAATTACAGAAAAGAGTCTGGAACAGACTCCTCACCCCATGCCACTTTCTCAGATAAAAGAGGGAAAGATTCACAGATTGGGTTAGTAATCTTATCTTTTAGGCTTTTCATCCACTTCTTACTAGGTTGTTAAAATCTGTTGAGGTCATCAGCCAGTTATAACCTGTGGCTGTTTGATTTTTAAGAAGGATAGACATTTGCTAAATTTGGTTTTGATTTTAGATTTTTCCTCCCTTAGAGTACAGTTTACACTGTTGTGTTCCTTGTGGAAAGATAATGACTCAGATACATGACCAGCATGAGACAGATTGAGAAAATAGATGAGAATAATAATCATAATAAATAAAACCAACAAACGAATATGATTTGGTTCTATAACTTTTTAAATAAGTGCTCCATGAATATTCCAATTTAAACGGGAAGCATAGAAGCTACCAAAAGTAGGAAGCATTTAGTCATCAGAATTATTCATCCCTTAAAGGACACACCTGAGGGTCAAATAAAATCCTGTCCTCAATTCCAGAACAGGTGACCACTGTTACCAGTGGAGTATCTCCTTGGAGCTCGTGGAGAAGCTCTGTGAGCGAAGGTGTGTGTCTCTGAGCGAGATTACATGCCTCTGTGGAAGTGAATTTTCATTCACTTTGAATGTGTGAACAGTGGAAAACACACTGAACTGAAATCCAAGGTGGTAGTCCTGACTTTTCCAAAAGTAAGTCACCTTGGTTTCCTAAGAAAAAATTAATGGGTTGGGCTAAAAGTGCATGGCCCCTGCTCCCTAGTCCACCTTTATATGCTTTGTCCAGTAAGGTCACCTCTGGTCAGATATAGTTCCTGAGTTATCTGTGCTGAGATGTACTAGGGAAGAAATGCATGCAGTATTCAGACAGTATGAAAAAAAGAATGTGAAATATCTTATTAATTTTGTAATATCGATTATGTGTTGATAGAACATTGTGCATTGGGATTAGATAAAATGTATTAGTATTAAAATTAATTTACCTCTTTTTTCATGTATCTACTAGAAAATACACATGAGATTCATATTTGTATTGAATAGTGTTGATCGATGTGATTCTATGAAAAATCCTCCTTTGATTTCTAACTCATTACCTAGCTGGTCTATAAATTATCACATATTCATGTGTTTATTCTTTTATTTATTTACAGTCTGCTCCTTTGTTCCAAAAATAATTTGTTTATATACAAAAGTACATGGTCTGTATAACATAATTTTTAAAAAATAAATTAAATAGGAAAAATAAAGTAAAAAGTAAAGTTGGTACTTACCTACATCATCTTCAACAATACCTTCATAGTAAGTGTCGTAGTGGCCTTTCAGTGAGAGCCAAGAGCATAATAGTAAATGGTCAAGAACTTGAGTTCAAATCTTGGCTGTGCTGTTTACTTTAGACGAGTTATTTAACCTCTCTGTACCCTAGTTTCCTTATTTGTAAGATGAAGAAACCCTCACACGTACACACACACACACACACACACACACATCATGCAGCCCTCTTTGAGTGTTGGGAAGATTGAAGGGATCACATTTAAGCACACTTTAAGTCCTTAATAAACATAAATGGCTATCATTATCATTTACACTTGAAGCAAGTTTGCTGGGATGGATTTTAAAAGTATTTTCAATCCATATTTTGCTGGCAGTCTTGTTCATCCAAGAAAGACTTTTGTCATCTTTGGAATGAGTGGGCTATAGGGATTATACTTCAGGCAATCCTTCAAGATGATTTTTCTCTCAGAGGTTTTAGATAAATCAAGGCATGACAGTGAATTTTAGATTATATGCTATGACAAGTACCTGGAGGGCAGCTCTACCCTGTGGCTGAGTAAGGCAGGGCCCCACTTACCAGTCATTGGGCTGGGTGGAAACACACCTTTTAACAAAGTTGGGGATTAAGATGCATACATGTGTCTGAATAGAAAAGCGCCTCACTTTTGCCTGTGCCTGGCCAGCAAAAGCACTTGCTTTCATGTGATCTTTGGGTAATGTCAGCTCAGCTCTATTGAGGAGATTTATTCAGCCTAGAATTGGCCCACTTTTAGCTGCATTTAATATTCAGTTTTCATTTTAAGAACTTTAAATGCCCGAAATCTAACAGATTGACATACCCAACAAGCAAACACATTTACATGTTTACAAAAACTCTCAAAAATATAAGGCTGGAATTATAACTTTTTTAAATAATTTTTATTGTTGGTTGTTCAAAACATTACATAGTTCTTGATATATCATATTTCACATTTTGATTCAAGTGGGTTTTGAACTCCCATTTTTACCCCGTATACATATTGCAGAATCACATCGGTTACACATCCACTGATTTACATATTGCCATACTAGTGTCTGTTGTATTCTGCTGCCTTTCCTATCCTCTATGATCCCCCCTCCCCTCCCCTCCCCTCCCCTCCCCTCCCCTTCCCTCTTCTCTCTCTACCCCATCTATTGTAATTCATTTCTCCCCCTTGTTTTTTTTTTCCCTTTCCCCTCACTTCCTCTTGTATGTAATTTTGTATAACCCTGAGGGTCTCCTTCCATTTCCATGCAATTTCCCTTCTCTCTCCCTTTCCCTCCCACCTCTCATCCCTGTTTAATGTTAATCTTCTTCTCATGCTCTTCTTCCCTACTCTGTTCTTAGTTACTCTCCTTATATCAAAGAAGACACTTGGCATTTGT